AAAATACCACATTCAGTGAACACTACAAAACTAAACACCACATCCTGCAACAATGATTAGCTCTGCTGGATAAAAAAAACAAAGGCTTAGCATTCTTCCAGCCTGGGTTTGAGAATGAAGACCGCTTGTACAGGCTATGGGGCAGCGGTGTGATGCTTGTGGTAAAATTCTGGATTTCAATACATGTAGAAATTTTTCAAAGGGCCCTTATTTGATGGCGTTTTAATTCTTTTTTTGTTTTGGGCAACTGCCTTTTGGCATTGAGAAAAATAACCAAGACAAAAAGAAACAAACTCTTGCTTCGTTTTGTTTTTTCAGTCAAAGGAACATCACATTTTATTACAAAGTAACTTATGGCATTCATAAAATTCATTCATTCAAAAAGTCAAGTGTCAAGTCAAGTTCTGTCCTGTAACTTAACCCTGTCAAGTGAAGGTTGTTGCCAGAATACAAAATATTGGGCATCCAAGTCTGCCTGGAAATTGGACAAACGAGACATCCAAGTTGCTGAGGTTTTCAAACCAACAATGTGCGGGCAGTCCACAAAGTTAAAGACCTGACCCCCAGGGTGTCAAAAAGACATCCAGGAGCCCGTCTTGTGAAAGCAACGACTCTTCATTTGTACGCATTCATTTTCTAACTTGACTGCTGGTCACAAACACTTCTGAGCCACTTCCACTTTCACCCCAGTATTTCCAAGAGGCTCTCTCTTCATTGGCTGTCGTCGATGGGCCACAGAGCCCTCAACCTGTTCTTCTTCCCCAGTGATCATTGTTACGTCCAAATGTTGTGGCTATGGCTAAACACAGCGTATGTTCCTATATGAAAGCCACCAGATAACAGCTGCAATCACTTTCCATTGACACGCATGTTATCCCCAGCCGCAGCCCAGAAAATTAGGACAGGGCCTGCTTTTCAAGCTGTTTTCATTTAAATCGGGAGGAGTAATATTCTTCCTCGAGTTCATAAAGATTGAGAGACAGTTCGTCCCTGAGTTGCATGATCTTGCTGTCCACCTCCGCCTGAATGTTGTGTAGGAACTGGGTCCGCTGGCCAATGGCTGCGTTGGCTGAGGGAAAGTCGTTCAGGATCAGGAACTCCTTGATGTCTGAGACCAGTTTCATCAGTGACTCGCCCGCTCGGACCTAAGTAGAAAAAACAAACCCAAAGTAATTCGGCAAGCAACTGAAGAAGGGTTTTTGTTTTGATCATCCTGATCTTCCTAGACCCTTTAGAATCTACTGAGAGGTTTTGAAGGACTTTGCGGGATTGAGGAAGGTGCAGCCATATTTGACGTGGTCCTGTTGGGATTCCTTGCCCCTTGGAGGTTCACTAGATTCATTTTGATACAGAAGAGGATTTGGGAAGATTCAGTGAAGTTCCTGGCACAAAGCTTCGAAGTGGGAATCAGGAAATAATGTACATGTAATTGCTTTTTACTCATCCTGAAAAAAGAAAGAAAACATCACAGTTTATCTTCATCGTTTCAGTGTGAATAGACGGGGAAACCGAAACAGTGAGTGAGCACGCTGTGTTTTACAATTGTTTACTTGGCCAAAGCTTGGTCTGGTTACGGCTAGTCCAGTTGGTTTTTCTGTCGGTCTGATAGTTTCAGTTGGCCAATCAGAAGGAACGCACTCACAATATTTGCCGCTCTGACGTGCATCTCATTTTGGTCTTGCTCCCCCTGGGTCTGTCTCGCCACTTGTGTTTCCTCCTCCACCTGGGGTGGGGGAAAAATCAAGAGGCCTCAACCATTAAAAGGCAGTGTATAGCAAAATCATTAGCACTGACATTTTGCGATGCAAAAAAAGAGTAAAAATCCTGGAAAGCGTTCCTCTAAAAACGCAGCGTTAAAAAAAAAGGAACAGTGTCTTACTGATGAAAAATTTGCTCTTTATAAATAATCACACAAAGTTTTGATCAATTCACATTGCTATAAGCCTCTTTTTCACTTCCATTGTCTCAAAACAGCTCTGAGATGAATCTTTGGTTTCCAACCTTTGCCGATTTCAGTATCTCTGTGAAGTTTTCCTGGATGGACTGCACGTCGTTATGGAGATGCCGCAAGTAAGACTTCAGCAGGCTGTCCTTGACCGGCGGCAAGGCTCGCTGCTGACCAGACTGGGACATGATGACCCTTGTCTGTGACAAAAGTCCATTGAAATATGTTTAGTTTCATAAAAGAAAATCATACAGGGGGGAGACCGATAGTTCAGGTTTAGGATGCCTGGCATAAGGAAAATATAGACATCTTTTGTTGGGAACAAGAGATGGCGCTTGGTGATCTAACGACCAGTCCAACAGCCCTAAAGGTTTACAGACGTATGAACCACTGCTGGTTGTGATCGCTCGATCTTTGCATGATAGGTCGACCCTACTGCACAATCTATCTGTAATTTCACCCGTGGACAATCCCCTTTTCTTTTCTTTTCTAATTCACGGCTGTGGCAGATTGGTTCGAAGAACAGAAGTAAAGTTGGATACAGTTGAACCTCGTTAATAAGAGCACTGTTTATAGCAAGGAAGATGTTAGATCCCAATCCTTTGTTTTCATTCTTTTAATTCCTGATAATACAAGGTTTCTGTTATAACAAGGTAATTTGCCAAGCTCGTAGGACCTTTTATTAACGAGGTTCGACTGTATATCATACAGGATCAACTGATAGACTCAACATGATGATTGTGCAATTGTGCTGATCAACTTATCATGCCTCACACTGTTATCAACTGCTTCCCCTACGCAATGACACAATTCATGAAAGGGCTGCCCCATGTGACATCTTGGGTAGGCCAGCTGGGGTAACAATATATATTGCAATATAGTACTCCGAACCTGATCAACACTGTTGATACACATTTCATGTGGGGTACGCACAATTTTCACTTGAATGGTATGGGGTGGGATAGCCCCGGGGTGGGATAGCCCCAGACTGGGGCCAGTCCACTGGACAACCTCTGTCATGTCCGTAAGGATACGGATTTAGTCCAGTAAACTGGCCCCAGTACGGGGCTAGGGGTGGGAGTGCTGTGAACATGTCAAACCTCATGCACGGCATGCATACACGTAGTTCTAACTTCTAGGCATGTCCAACGTTAGGGGTAGGTTAGTCCGTCACCAGACTGTGTCAAAATGTCGAGAAAGGCGACTTGTAGAGTCCAAGTTACACGGACTAGGGGTAGGGCCCAGGTACACTTTCATGATTTTACCCAATATGACAGTAACAATTTTGGATGTAAAGTAAAACATGAAAGTAAAAGCACTGAGTTTGATACCAATTTTCAATCATCATCATTAGGCCTAGTGCGTAAAAGAAACAATCAAAGCATAAGCCAATTTCCCATTCCGTCATCTCTCCCACGAACGTGGGAGAGGAGCGGACATCAGACCCCACAGTTCTGGGGGCTATCCATCACCATGTTGATTTCTGCATCCTCACATGAGTGAGTGAACAAAGCTAGAGGGGAACAAATTGGCTACAATGACAATCATGAGCATCCATTCACCAAACTTTACGCAAAGTTGTTGTAACGAATTTGTTCCCCTTTGTTAAACCTTCTGAGAGTGCACACATGAAATAAGAAACAGGTTTATTAACTCATACCCAAAACTGTACCAAAAAACTAAATGTGTCAATGGATAAACAGCGCCCTCAATAGGCCACGGAGACGTTATTTTATCAACACGATTTCCGATCTGTTTCATCATGATTTTACAGCGACATTTCGCCTTAACATATGCAAGTCTTTCCCCAAAAAGATCCCATCAAAGTAAGCAAAATGCCTAGTTGTACCGTTTTTACACATTTTTTGCTTTGATATCCGTAATTTAATGTATAAGGCGCGTTAGGAACAACGAATACTTACGTACCAAAATACAAAGTCTGGTACCTCAGCAAGCCAACTATTTGAACATCTGATGTTTTGTGCGGAAGTCGGGGAACAGTTTTGATCACGACCAAGTCTCGTTATTCCACGCGAGACTCACATCGGTCTCTTTTCGTGTTTGGCAGCCGACATGGTGAGTGTGTGCACCACCTTGGTTGTAGAAACAATCCACTTTATATCTTATACATCGGGCATATTTAAAATGAGTGTTTCATGATATATGTAGGGGGTATACTAAGGCTTCGAAAAGGTCTTAATATTTAGTTTATTTTTAAACGGATCTTTGTGATGAGCCAGAAAGAAATGGTGGTCTTATAGCTCTCATTGAACTTCGATTGGTTGTACACTGAACTGAACATGCGGAACATTGAACTGAAAATAAGGTCTTTGCACTTGGCCGGCTTGTAATCCAATCACACATCACAAAAGTATGTTCGGGAAGGATTGTCTTTTCTTCAGTTATGCTTTCATTTTGTACTTATGTTAAATTTCTTTATGTTCTTCAAAAATTTTGTTGATTGGCATTTTGGGGAATAGCCCCACTAGTCAGTTAGTGTGGCACGGACTCTCACTCCTGCTCCATCCTCAGCCACACATCCGTATACGCAATTTAGGAAAGGTCAAGGATCATGTCAGTTTGCAAAAGCAATTGCACCCACGATTATAAGTGGGTGCGCCGAAAATGTTCCCACGCCGACAGGAAATTGCGTATACAGATCATGTGTTGCTAAGGATGGACCATGAGTGAGTGTCCGTGCCACACTAGTGGGGCTAGTCTTGGAACTGATTGAACATGTCAAAAGTCAACATGGTCAAGGGACAAACATGACTGTGAGATGTGCGTGATGACCGTGCGATTGCTAATGTGTGGCTAAGGATGGAGCAAAATGTGGCCTGGGCATCTCCAGTATGTTTTGTAACAAGTAGGTGTTGTGAGACCAGCTTTCACTGTTGCAATTTCCCTTTGACATTTGCCTCTTCTGTTTGTAGCCCAAAGCCAAGAAAGCTCCGCGGGGAAAGAAGGTGGCTCCAGCCCCCTACGCCGCCCGCCAGGCACCCCCCAAGAAGGTTGTCAACCCCCTCTTTGAGAAGCGACCCAAGAACTTCGGCATCGGTAAGGGCCCAACAGCGACGTGTGGAAAACCATATCTCAGAGTGGAATTCCACATGTGGATGCGTCTTGACACCTTGTACACAAAACCCTATCAGACTGATCTGAAAAATTCTTAGTGTTTTCTAAGAAAATACCTTCATATTTTCACTGCTAAATGTGACTTTTTAGGACATTGCATTCCTTTCAGATGGCTAATAGGTCACTGCAACAAAAATTAGCGGCATCCATGCATGGAATTCTTTTCCTGGATTCAATACAGAGCAAACTGTGGTCACAGTGTCTGCTTTTTTAGGGTGCATGAAAAAAAGTCATGTAGAGGATTCAGGTTTGTTAGAGTCCAACTTTTACCTAAACCTTCCCAAATAGTTTCAATTTGACTACTGTAGGGTTTTGGAAATTTGCAGGATTGAGTAAAACCCAATTACTGTTAGTGTATATTGGGTGAGAAGCCTTTAGAAAGTTAATATATAAGTAAATTGCTCTTGGATTTGCCGTGGGAATATTTGGGAAACTGTTCAGAATCCAACATTTTCCTAGACACTAATTTTTCCCAGGCTGAATGGGCTTATCTTCAATGAAAATTAGTTGTGCGGAATTTGTTACATCAAGTAACAAAGAATTATGTCATGGTAGTTGGATAGTTGGTAGTTGAATACATGTAGTTGGCTGCTTCATGAAGGTTCCCTGGATTATGTCGCACAATTTTGGATTTAGAGGATACAATAATTTCCCTTGTTTCCAGGCCAAGACATCCAGCCTAAGCGTGACTTGTCCCGCTTTGTCAAGTGGCCCAAGTATGTCCGCCTGCAGCGCCAGCGTGCCATCCTCTACAAGCGACTCAAGGTCCCCCCCTCCATCAACCAGTTCACTCAGACCCTGGACCGCCAGACAGGTGAGGGGGAACGACCTTATTAATGAAAGCGACTCAAGTATTCCACTTACAAGTAGCAAAAGTGAGCCATGCCCTGAGTTCCTTCCTAATCATGGGCACTGTTCAGTGTGGCATTAGCAATCATGCTGTCTACCGTGAAGCTGTAAATTGTTTCTGCAATGTTTGACAGAAATAATCATTTTACTGACACAGTTGATTTATCCATCAATAAATCAGTGAAAGCTTTTCAGTATAAATGTGATTTTAGATTGAGAAATCAAGAAATCAATTGAGAAATTGTCAGTTGAAAAAGTAACGTAACATGAAGTCATCCTGAAGTACTGACAGTCCATTTAGGCACATATGAAATGTGGCAAAGTAATCATCTTTCTTTCCCGTATTCAGCAACTTGTAATTTGATATTTCATTGCAAATGTTTTCATTTTTTCGTTTTGATGCCCTATGTCACAAAGACCTGTCAAGGGTAAGAGAATTTGCTCAAGTTCTTGCGAAGCCGTTTCATGCACTGCTCCGAAGATTCATGGCAGAATGCACCGGATTTGAGACCTTTTTACAAAATTCTCTCCCGAGCAGCCACCCAGCTGTTCCGCCTGATGAACAAATACCGGCCGGAGACCAAGCAGGAGAAGAAGCAGCGGCTGCGTGCCCGGGCCGAGCAGCGGGCCAAGGGCAAGGAGGACACGCCCACCCGCCGCCCCAACATCGTCCGGTCGGGGATCAACACTGTCACCTCGCTGGTGGAGTCCAAGAAGGCCCAGCTGGTCATCATCGCCCACGATGTCGACCCCATCGAGGTACGGTCCCCGCTGACATATCTCAAACGGCTGTCCTTTTATGCAGAGATGCCAGCCCCAAATTACCAAATCCACCAAAATTGCGCACCTGGTTATTTCAGGCTAGTTTCGTTTTTTGAGAATCAACGTCAATTTACTTGGAAAGTCGGAATCTGAAACTTCAGGTACGAAAAATGTAATGTTGTCTTACAACAGAGTGTTGAATTCTGGGAGGAGGAAATGAGCTTCTTTACAAAAAAATCCTGGCAAATTAGAATGGATTTGCTAAGCGTACAAATTTAGCTTAGCTGTAAGTAGCTAGTGTTTGCCATGATGGGCACTACTTGGGCTGCTTCTGGCATCTGGATTTTGATGTGCTTAATGAATTCCCTAGTGTTAAAATCCGAGTAGCTTTGCTTATTCAAACTCGTGAGCCATTTTCTCCTGCTATGATGTCTTGAATTTCTTCACCTGAAGAGCCCTTCGGGCTCTCTGTGTGGATTAAACCAAAATCGAGCTTTTTAAATCTGAGCAGGAAAGATAAAATTAAGCATGAAGTTGGGCTTTTGTTTTTGTGAAAAGCTGAACTTATCAGCTAGTGTTGGCCCAGCAAGTTCCTCCTATCAAAGGGGGCGATTAACTCTGCGCTTCTGTCAAAATCACAATTTCTTTAGCAAACTTCCTTTTCCCCCCAACATTTGGGCAGATCGTGTTGTTCCTACCCGCGCTGTGCCGCAAGATGGAAGTTCCTTACTGCATCGTCAAGGGCAAGGCTCGTCTCGGCGCAGTCGTCCACCGCAAGACGGCAACGTGCTTGGCCTTCAGCCAGGTCAACAGGTTAGCCTCTGAAATGAGCGTGGCAACTTAGTCTCTGTGAAAAAGTCCTAATCACGAAAACCGCTCCCAAGAAGGCAACTCAGAGCCCTAAGTAGTCGAGAAACAGAAAAAAAAAATATACAGTCACTGTCCCGTGCATTCTGGGGTGCCAATGCCAAAGGTCAGAGGTCAAAGAGATTAGCAGGTGTCCGTCCGATCAGCGACCACTTGTTTATTTTGCCTGATACTCAGGATGTGTGTTGTGGTAGGCTACCAGGGAAAGATGGACTAGTAGTCAACCAAGGGGTTGGTTGAAGGCCCCGGGTTGAGCTTACAGATAGTGCAGGGAGGTCGGGCTGATACCCAAGTACCACTGCTTCAATGTTCCTGGTGTTAACACAAAACCACAAAGTGTCTACACACACTTAGATTGTGTGTGCTTTCCGCCATATGGGACCAGATCCCACAAAAGGAGGCTCAAGACTTTTTGTCCGTACTGCTTCACTTTGATGAATGCTTCACTTTGATGTATCCCGCACTGTGCCGTCTTGATTGAAATAAACATTATGTGTGCGAAATAAGTTGAGAGTCCTCGACATCAAGCAGACTTTTTTTCCAAAAGTCCTTAAACGCACAACTGTGTCGACTTGGCACTCATTTGGTCAAGTAAGTACTGACCAGTGTCCACACATAGTATTTATGTCCTCAGTCATTGTTCGGGTTATTAAACTGCATGTGCTCAAGTTTGGTTATGTAATATCTGTAATGTACAATTTTTCTTTTTACCAGTGAGGACAAGGGCTCCCTGGCCAAGGTCATTGAAGCCGTCAAGACCAACTACAATGACAGATTTGAAGAGGTAATGTTTATCGGTCAGCGGTATTTTAGTAGGTGCGGAGTTGTTTTCAGTAAAGTTTCCTGCAATGATGTGTGAATTTCTTCACCTGAAACGTTCAGTGTTGAACTTACCACAATCGAGCTTTTTAAATCTGAGCAGGGCAAAAAAATTGAGAGTTGTTTCTCCAGTCACCAAGTTTGATAATCGGTTGGAAAGATTACCAAGGAAGGTATAACGCTGTACAATTTTTGGGGGATGGCAAAAACGTCAAGTGTGAGAATTTCCTGAATTTTGGATCAAGTTCGTGGATGAATAGCAAGCAAATCATTCAAGACAAAACAAGACCACTTAACACTTTTTGGAGGGTTGATCCATCAGTAATCTTGATTCAGATCTGCCACAAAAGGACGTGGCAGTGAGACTTGAAGGTTTTCATGGTGAAAGAACTATAGGAGTAGGACGATTGCGGTTACACCATGGATCAGTCTCTTTCTAGAGTATGTGTGGTTCTGAGAAGGACCCGAGGAATAACAGTGTATTCTGTCGGCAGTCTCCTGAAAACGGACAGAGTACACTGTTTGAAACGTCAAGTTATCCCCTGGTTCTTCTCAGAGCTCTACGTACTCAAGAGATTGATCCATGGGGTAACCGCAATCGTTTTACTCAGACGTGGCAGTATTTAATAGAGGTGAATAACTACATTTTGGGGTAACCATGCCATATTTGTTGGTCTTGAAATATTTTCATCTTTAAATGACACGACCTCAATTTGCCCACTCCTCAGCTTGCTGTGTAATGTTATCCTTCGGGCAGTTTGTATTCTTAGCGACAACCCTGGCAAATACGGGCATACGGGGGTGTTGTAATCTCCGAGGGTGTGTGACAATTATTCAGGACCATTAGGGCTAGTTGGTCTGACTTTTGTGATTTTTTTCCCCCCCCCCTCCCAGATCCGTCGTCACTGGGGCGGTGGTCAGCTGGGCAGCAAGAGCCAAGACAAAGTCCGCAAGCTGGAGAAGGTCAAGGCCAAAGAGCTGGCCAGCCGCTCCTAGACTCCAGATCTGTCGCTCCTGAAGAGAAAAAACCAACACTCTTTGCTGACGTGATCATCCGACATCCTCCTCTCCCACAGAGCAGTGGCAATCGAGGCTCGAGTTTTGCCCGACCACTGGCAACTTCAAGATGGAGATCAGAAAGTCGGAGAAACTCCAAATCTGAACGTTTTTGGAATATCGGGGGACTCTGCTTACTTGTAAAAAAAGTGCGAGACAAAATAAATCATCCCTAACAAAGAAAACACCGACTCCAGTTCTCTCTGATGTCTTTATTTCCAGTAAATAGAGCGCTTCAAATTATAGCACAAAAGACCAAATTTGTTCTTGAAAAATTTCGTTTAAAACTTCGTACAGAATATCCCTCTTCCTGAAGTGAAATGGAGTAACAAGACTTCCCAAAAAAAGCACTGCATTGTAATCAATCATACACATTCCACTGTACCACTGGCCATAAGACACAAATTAGTTCATTTGCTTACCATTAATTTCCAGTCTTCGTAGAAACACTTCAACTACACGCTTCAGTAAGCATTGATAAAAATATGAAATTTTTACCCAACAACTACGTTTAAAATTCTGATAGAAAATATACTTCAATTTTACTTCAATTCATCTCGGATTTGCACATTTGCCAAATTACAGATATTCCACCATTAATGTAAAAGCCTGCAAGAAATACAAGATTACCAACTTTCTAAGGAATAATTGGAATTTACTGGTCAATATAAGACACTGAATAAGAACATTTCAATTGAGCTGGATAATAATCTCTGTAGCTTCTAATTCCTCTGTTAAACTTCAACCTCGAGTTGTCCCTGTTTGATACCTGAGTATGTAGCTGGCTGGAGATTCCTCAATTCTCCACAGCATTGGAACCCTGACAGTGCCCTCCTGTCTGGCTGGTGTCAGACAGCAGTGCTAGATGGTCTTTCCCTGACTTTAACATAGCTAGCAGTTCCTGGGCCTCCACAGTGACAGCATGGTGGCTCCCGTAAGCAATCCTCAGTGTCCGTAGTGCCTGTAGAATGGTTTTAATTAACACTAAAAATGTAACTACTGACGACTACGAGGAATTCCGGCATGCCAGGTAGCACAGTAGTGTCTGTACCATTGACAGCCATACATCTAATGTAACATTCGTTTCATGTTTCCCAAGAGAATTTGGCATTTACCAGTTGCTCTCGGCTGCATCCATGGGCCATTTTTCACCGTAAAATTTCATGAAAAGGGCAGAGGAAAGCTAAGATTTGAAACCCTCCCCCAGCCCTCCCCAGATCGACTTGGGTGACCATTTACATCAGTCCTCGCAAGGCAGCCTTCACCTCAACACACAAAACTGGAACCACTGCCCTTTTCAACTGGGAATAGGGGCTTTGCATGGTAGCCATCTTGCAGGGCAGTTCTTTTGTTCCACAGGGGAAAATCCTCCTTTGTGCAGACCCTGTGGAACAGAAGCACTGGACTGCAAGATGACAGCCATGCAAACCCTCTATTGCAGTTGTAGTTTCAAATCAACAACTCTCGACACTGCCAGCAAGTATGTTCCGCTTTGCAATCTTTGCCCACTGGTCGCACACTCTGCGTGCGTACCTCTTCCAGCGTGTGGACGGCCTTCAGGTTCATCCCCAGCCGGGCTTGTAGCTGACCGACCTGCCACAAGTTGAACCCCAGCAAAGTGTCGCATGAATCCAGGTGAGTTCTGACATGTGAAGGTAATAAGAAAAAGAAGATTCACATGAAATACCTCTGATTAAGCCTAAAACCGAACCAAGGATGACTGTTTCTGTATGCCTAGTGTCCAACTTAACCAGTGATTAAAAGCACTATTGGAGTAGTTGCAGAGTACCCCGCCACTCAAAAGTTACCCCTTTGAAATTGTTGGCTACGATGTCAAAGTGGCCGTGGTGTAGTGCAGTCCAAGCTGCAAAATGAAACGGGCGCAGTTGCAAACGGGCAAAGTAGCAAATGGACGCGAGCTATAAATCAAATGAGATATCACGTCGGGATGTGAGGATCAGTGAACCCAGGCCAAATGAATGGGGACGACATGAAAAATTGTAAATCCAAACCAAGTACCTCGTAGGCAACTACGAAGTTGTAGCAGCGTCAGCTGGAGAGCTAGGCAAAAATATGAATGGGGTTCTATCTGAGAATGAGGCAATGCGGAATGATTGGGGATGGCGAGAAAAACTCTAAGTCCAAACCAAGTACCCTGTCGGCGGCTAAACGGGTAATTTGGACGTGGGCCGTTCTAACACAGGCATTGTGTGGTCTAGTACAATTAGGTCATGTAGGTGAAGCCCTGTGCGTATTTTGTGCATGAGCGGTCAAGCGCGACGTCATAGCCGGCTACAATGTGGGAGAGGAGAGTGGCGGGGTGTTCTGCAATGGCGCCACACTATTAGTTGGCTTGCACTAACTGTCACTTTTCAAAGGACTTTGCATTCCAACAAAGTGTACATGCTCCAACAAAATGTAACGAGCCACACAAATGGCACAAATTGATGACAACGTAAGCCCCAGCGGGAGACCTGCAAATAACAACTGGACAAGTTGGCCACTTCATATCATGAGCTCCATGAAACTTTCAATCAGGTTTCCATTTTTGATGTCATACACGTGAAGCAAAAATTGACTGAAAATGCGGATCTGCGAACCATTCAAGCCTATGGTCAAAGGAGAGCTCTGAGGCAGTGTGACAGAGGTCACAACTTCACATTGCACGACAGTCAAAATTTCCTTGACCATCTCAAAGCCAACGATTCCTTTTTCTGTCAGGTTTCTTTGTCGCACTTACCTCAAAGCGACAAGACTCCTGGTGCCGTACTGCAACGCTGTCTCGGCTTCGTCCAGCTTGAGGGCAGCCTTCAAGGCCGTCTTGACGACTTGGTAAACCCGCCTGTGGTACGGCTGGTAGACGTCATCCAAGCGCGCCAGGATGGGACCGCACTCCTCAAGATACTGGCCTGGGTAATCATGTGAGGGACCATGCCGGGAACCGGTTCAGGAGAAGCGCAAACTGATGAGAGACATTTGTTGCTCGAAAAGAATTGCATAACTAAAAGCAACTACACTCATTGTTGATAAAAAAATCACACTTCAGTGCCATCACAAACATACACATGTACATGAAGTAGCCCAAAGTTTGATGCGAATCTGTACTGAAACCGCTTAGATTTAGAAATGGGCACAATTTTGATTTCAAATTGGAATGATCTGCTCAAGACACAAGATCAGTCAAAAGTAACAGGGCCAATAATGACAAAGGAATGCTTTTGCTGCAGTTCATTTGACCAGGTTGATAGACGAGTGAAAACTGAAGGTCTCGTGCTGGTCTTCAGAGGTCTCCACTACAACACCGGAAAGAATTAAGTCCTACTGACTGAAATCCTGGTTTCACAAGGATATAATCCTTCTTCCGGGACAGGAAACTCTCCACTTCCATCTCTGTCCGTACGATCTGATCTGGTAGCTTAGAAGTGCTGATGTCAAAGCCACACGCATCACAGGCTAGATACTGACCACCTGAAGACCAAGAGAAAACCAACTTTTCAGAGACAAATTTGGTTCCGGTTCAAAAAGACCAAAGAATTAAACAATGCAAGAAGTACCAAAGGCTAGTCATTCCAAATATTGATATAATTTCCATTACTTTCAGTGCAAAACAAGAAATAAAACGTTTGTCTCTTGTAAAAATCCTACAGAACAAAGACACGGACTATATTTCAATATTCCGGTGGTCAAAAACCTGGCAATTTAAACGGCAGTATACAATGTAAGAAAAAAAATGGCGTATAATCAGTTATAGAGAGTTTGCATACTCCAAACTTCAGATTCAAAGTCAGGTGACTCGATACAGTATTCATGGGTAAGAACCAGCCCTAATGGCGCTTTGCACACGGCATCCCTGACTTCTAGGCTTTTTGTATGTCACACGGTGTGTTTCACTATACAAACAAAAGATATCTCTGATTTCCAAACTTGAAAAAAGTTCGGTCCTGATCAGCCCATTCCTTTATCTTGCCAACCAAACAAGTTTAACAGTCACTGTTTTTCAGAAGAAAATCTGGTCTCTGGCAAAGTCAGTTGTATACCAAACAATGAGTACACGTGGCAGTGTTAGAATATATGTCGACTTGTGGGACTGTAGCTTACAAGGTACAGTTGGCATCATTGGTAATAATTCCAAGATCTTTCACAATGTCACTGTGTGATTGGATTAAATTGGTTGCCAGCTAGTTTCTTGATTTCAATCGGCAGATGACAAAACAGATTTCAAGTTTCACCCTCGGTGTGAGTATGACATAGTTCAGTACAGTGGTGCTTTATAATCATATTGGAGTTTCCCATCAAGTTGAATTGTGATGACCTCTGAGAAACAAGAAATCTTCTCGCAACAATATGACAATATAATTTCATCCAAAATGTCATCTTTGTTAACTGTTCAGGCCATGTATCGACACACTAGTGCTTTCATGCAGCGTGAAAGAGAATGATTTCCTTGAATTTCCACAATTTGTAATCATTCAAAATTCACCTCATCCAGCAAAAAAGAGAGCCTAAATTTTCTGAGAGTGTTTTGCCAGCACTGGTGTCTTTGTGTGGACATATCTACACAGAAGTTGGCTTGCCGACTTGATCGAAATGAATCCTTATTCCCCGTCCCTTCAAATCCACCACAATTAAAGAAATATCCACAAATCGACAGATTTGTACCTTCTGCAAAGAACTAAATGGAGCATGGATCACCAGAGAAGTCTGCAAATATTCAGCACTCAAAAAGGATTTGTCATTTCCCACTTTTGTGCCCGAGCATTTTCATTCCGATGGTTCTTGACCATTTCAAAATTCCGACATCGAACTCTACGGTTAGCCTTTAAATACATGAAGATGATATAAAAATGTCAAAAGTTTGGCCGAATATTTTTCTGACCAAAGGGTCATACTCAGACTATCTGACGGTTTCCATGGCAACACAGACCCCCGACAGTTCATCTGTGGGCATTTTATAGCGTACATTAACCTGTCCTGTTACAGAGGTGAGACATTGGAGAAATAAATGCAAGAAAAAAAAGTTAATATTCAGGAATATTAGCAGACACAGTTACAAGACTACTTTTAAGCCCATTATACCAAAACTTGGCACCGATAAGATTTCCACTGACCTCCACCTTCGATGGAAGGACAGCTATGATGATACAAATATGAATTCAGTGATTTTCACCACATTTGGTCGATCCAGAAGTCGACAATAAGTTGCCCAGTAGAGACAGTCTTGCTCCTGACGGCGACTAGGAAATTTGACGATTTCAACACTGTTTTCGGGCGAGATGACCATGTGGCCTGTTTTCACTGCTCTCAAAGAGTGTTTTTCAGGTATTAAGCCATTTCTAAGAAACCACTAAATCTCAGGCTTCATCACGGAGCAAGTCGCCCAACTCATAGGACATGACATGCTACATTCTCCTTTGCCAATCATTACATTACTTCCAATTGTACAACAGATTTGGAGGTATCAAGGGGGATTAAATACAATTGCAAGTGAATTTTCCATTAATTTTAAATTGAAATAGGGGTACTTCCACACAGGCAGTGGTTTCAGAAATTTGATCTCTCCAAACTAGGCATAATCTAAGGCTGAAGTGACGTAAGATAAATTCTAACGGCTTCAAGGAACACAGTGAAAATAACCTAACAACCTAAATAATGTGGATCATTAAGCAGTCTGTTTTTTACTTCAACTTCACCCTAGCAAAATTAAACACGCCACAAATTTAGCTAGGAAAGTTACTTTCACATTCCTGACCAAAATGGAAGTCGTTTGCTGCTCTCCCAAAAAAAATGGTTCAGGTTGCAACTCCCTGGGTAGCAGAATAAATATTCAAGTGATCATTTGCATATTCAAGTGATCAATGACGTTACCTTATCTATGTCTTGAATGCAGCGTTTACAGTCACAGTCAAAGTCGTACCACTTTCTCAATTTGCTCTGACGAGAACTGGTCGGCGCCATGAGGTTCAGATAGCTGATGGTACACTGTACGCGGAAATAAAAAGACTACGGTTAATGCAATATACAATAATGAACTGACAGACCTTCAGAAACCAGGGCATATATACTGCTTGGCAAATATATGCTATACAACATTCAGCTCAAAACCAACATTTAATGTGATATTTGCACTGGTAAAAATTGGGCTGTAAAATTGGCCTAGGGAGCTAGGTTTTTGGAGCATTTTATAATGAAGAGGCTGCTGGTCATGGCCAAAGCAGCTCAACAACATCCAATTCAAAGTGTCAAGTTCTCTTAAAAGATCCTTGAACTGTGACTGGGCCAGGGGGGCTACTCCACCTCCTCCCCAGGGCTAATCGGCCGGATGCTGGCAATCTTGAGCTCCCGGTTGTCAGAGGTGAAGGTGCAGTTTGGACGACAGCAGTGGTTGAACATGGCCATCCTATTTGGAAAGAAAAGTAAATTCAAGTCCGAATGAATTTGTTGCACTATATGGGGGATGTCACCTTTTCCTTTTCTTAAGGGGAATAACTCTTACTATGGAAATACACAGTCAACAGAACTGTTACCAAATTCAAATACATTCCATGCCTTTCTCTAACTCTTTTACGAAAACTAACGGTTGACAAAGGGAGTCTCAGTGTTTCAAGAAAGTCTTCACGTCTGTCCTTGTTCTCGTCAATTGTAACACAAAGTCAACAGATACAACAGCGACGTAAGATCTCTCCGAGACCAAGTGACCACATGACAAACCCACTTCTCAACCAAAAAATTGGGTAACAAGTACTTTGTTGTCCAATCTTTTAACCTCTTCCCTGATCAATACATAGATTGACGTCAATAATGAATGCCATATACCTGGTGTAGAGTCCCTCTCCAATGACTTTACATCGAGCTTTGCCGTCACGGACAGAGAACATGTTGGCATTCAGAATTCCTTCAAATGTCTGCATCAGGTCTTCCGTCACTGGGAGATGTTTAGACGCCGCATACTCCCACAATCGCTCCATGTCCGGTTCGGGGCTGGTTTTTTCATCAGCCATCTCTGCATTAGGTCACACACAACCACACGAAAACGTGACTTCTGGGGAAAAAAAATCTGGGAGACTGAGGGGCTCAATGCTCTGGAAACCTTCAAGACTAGAAAGCCTTTTCTAGGACAGACGTGTTAATATTTAAATGGCCAAATTAGAATACACTGAGCACAATTACGATGTCGACAAAGTTGAGGAATGAAGCAAGCTTTATGCACTTGAACACACTCGTATGCCTGCACTTGAGATGACAAAGGTGAAACAATCTTAGGAATTGATCTGTGATTGAAGTTAGTGTTGTTGATATTTCTTTCTTTTTCCCCAAAACATTATCCCTCAGTGTTAAACTTACTCTTGTACAGTATCTCAGGTGTAAGTGGAAAACCCCGTGCATTGTGGGTAGCAACATTCTGGGATCGCTTCTTCACAGTTTTCTGCCAAACGAGGGGATTGAAAAAAAACAACGAGATAAAGACAAAAAGGCTATCAATGGCTCATTTTTATGCTACGCAGAACGCCTCGTGTGGAAAACCACATTTGTCAGAAAGACAAGATGGAAAAGCTCCGTAAAGTTTCCCGCATTCAGTTGTACATATGGCAGTTTATCCCGGGGGGGGAGGGGGAGAAGGTAGGGGGGGAAATCCGAGAGTAAGGACCCAACAGACTCACCAGATGTTTTTGGAGGGTCACCAGGAGTGTCCTTGTCCGTACCCTGATGTCGCCCCCAGCACTGGCCATCTTCAAGTATTTGCACTCGTACTGATGATCGGAATAGTTGGAAGCCTGAAATGAGTCGGGAAGAGACAGGAAAGAATTCTAACAATGTTGTGGCTCATACAACTTGGAGGCAAGGCTGCTCTTAGCTGGAGGGAGGGCTGCAGAAAGCGTGTGTGATGGCAAATCTCAAATGTGTGAACCGTGCAGTCTGGGTAAGGTCTAAGTCGTTAGGTCTCTTAAAGGGTTACAGAAATAGAAAATATTTAGGTCACGTGATGTGTTTCAAAATAGCAATAAATACGTAACCATTTCAAAAACATCATAAACTTAATGTTTGCCCCATTAATTGTTACCGCAAAAATGAATAAAAAGATCCTGCGTTTCCCCGCCCACAAAAAATCACCTTTTGGCCATTCACGCTCCCAGGCTGATGATTGGATGACGTCATCGCCAGAACGATGCATGTACAGTGTACATGTACATAGCGCACAGTACATGCAGTATCGCACGCAATAGACCACATTGTGTTTGATGTAGCTTGGCCCACAGGCAAACACTGTCTCAGTTCAAGGTAGAAATTAAAAGACACAGTCCTACCGCGTATTTCTTGAACCGAAACAATGCTTGCCCTGTTGGCCAAGCTACATCAAACACAACGTGGTCTATTGCAAACGTGTGATACTGCATGTACTGTGCACTACCAACATGTACACTGTACATGCATCGCTCGGGCGATGACGTCATCCAATCAGCCTGGGAGCGCGAACGGCCAAAAGGGTTTTTTTTGTGGGCGGGGAAACGCAGGATCTTTTTATTCATTTTGCAGTCACAATTAATGGGACAAACATTAAGTTTTTGATGAATTTGAAATGGTTACATATTTATTGTTATTTTGAAATACTTCACACGAATTAAATCTTCTTTATTTCTGTAACCCTTTAACTAGCCTGTACCACATGCCTGGCTGATTTTTTAATTTTCTGGACACTTGCTGAGTGCCGACACAGTGTAAAACCTTTTTTTTCTATAGTAACTATCATCTTACATTGCAGCAGGTTCTGAACAGCTCAAAATCCACCACAGGAAAAAAAGGAGGGGAGGCCGCGATTTAGCCAGAGACAATAAATTGGTTCCTTTTATTACTCGGTCACAAACAAGTAGGCCAGCAACTACTTGATTTTAGTTCACGTCAAGTCTTTCTACCCGAAACATGTTTTACAGTCTTTTTTTCTATCTAAGCCAAACGATGCCACTACTGAAAAAAGTTACAAAACTGATTGAAATTATTCATTTCTGCTCCGAAAAATCGAGGTTTTCCTCACCTGACATTGTCGGTCACAATAATACACAAAGCTACAGCCACCACAAGCTCTCAACTTTCCTCTACAAAAAGAAAAATAAGAGGGGATGGTTGTACTGGAACATACTAGACAGGCCTAGAAGACAGAGACAAATGCAAGGGCTGATCCCATCAGTAGGGGAAGGGGCCAATAGGGACCATACCCCCAAAGGGGCCCCCTTTTTTTTAGAGAAAGGCAAATTGGAAAGAGTTCCATATACGGACAACACTTCACGCCCGTGTGCACAAACCCATGAGACTTGTCTGAAAAAACTCAGTGTTTTCTAAGCAAATGCTTTGGAATTTTCTGATAAATTTCTCTTTTTAGTCCATGTTTTCACATCCTGATGGTTGTAACAGCATATCAAGGGAAAATTTGTTGTCTGTATATGGAACTCTTTCCGGCAAATTTTCATTATTCAATATTTCATTTCCAAACAACAAAACCTACCAGAAAACACCAGAAACTTGTGACAAAAACCAGAAAAATATCCCCAAACACATAAAACTACTGTAAAGAAACAGAAAAGTACTGACAAACACCAAAAATTAGGGGAAAAACCCAAACTACCGAAAAAAAAGTATAAAAAAATGTAAACAAAAAACCCCCAGAAAACTACCAAAAACACCAGAAAACCACCCAAAAACAAAGGAAAAGTGTATAAACATAATTTGAGCAAAGTTAACAAACTTTGGAAGAAACATCACATCAAGTGAAGTAGGAAAAATATATCTCATGAAAGAAACTTCGAAAAAATATTGCTTCACTCATGTCACTAGGCCTAGTTGAAAATATAGTTGACGGTTCAACAGGATTTTCCTAATTTAAAGAGTCAATTTAGCCTAAAAAATTTAAAAAGCTGGCAATAGTGAGATAACAAGCGATGCATTTTTTAAAGTTTGTTTTCACGAATAGGGCCTAGGCCTATGTTCTTTTTTTTCCTTGTTTGTTCACATATCTCATTTTTGGTGGTTTTTTGGTGTTTTCCGGCAGTTTTTTGGTACTTTTCTTTTTTTTCCTTGGTTGTCTTTCTTTGTTTTTCAGTAGTTTTCTGGCATTTTCCATTAGTTTTTCCCGTGTTTTCCGGTAGTTTTCCGGTATTTATGATAGTCGTATCATCTTTTCCCACCTCCATGGTTGTATGAGTTTTTCTGGTAGGCCTATTTTTCGGTGTTTTCCGGGAGGCCTATATCTATATTTACAGCAAAGGCCTAGTCATTCACTGACAATGATAATCGATGTGCCAAGACATTTCAATTTTAACCGCTCACAAACCGCTCATTTACGAGTTGATTTCATGCTGATTTATACATCATGTACATGTACATGATGTATAACCGACAACGACTTGATCAGCCGACTGAGTACTTCACGACTTTACAAACAATGTTTACCGTTCTTTGCAGCAATAACTACACCTGTTGCGTCGGTAGTCCTCCTCTAAAGTCAACAAGTATGGGTTCTCGATCAACAGAACTGTTTCTGGTTCAATAAAAGTGGTGGCTCTGACGCCCCTTCCTCGTTTCTTGTCCGAGAAAATCTCGACTTTCTCGCTCACTTCGGCCATTTTTCGTGAACGTGGCCTTCAGTATACATGTAGTCTGTTAATACACACGTGTACATGTACTTAATTTTTATCAATATTTGGCGACTTGAAAAAGGAACCAGACAATACATTTTAAGCGGTGTCCATAAATACTGCCCTCTAGGTAAAAATTCCCAGATTTCAAGAGAGCCGCCCACGACACCAACTCACCTCTCCCCATTTTTATGATGACGACGGTACCCCTACATTTTAAATTATAATCAATGTCACGATGAATATGAATGTATCAAAGAACAGTTTCTCGCAAAGTTTTACCGAAAGAAAAAAGCAAGGTTGGCTGGGGGGCGGGGACCTGCGTAAAATAAATAAGTTCTTGTCGTATAGCCCATGATAATGTGGGGTTCTTTTATGAGGAATAAACCTAATTTTTTATGTTGCACGTTGCACACATTTGCCCCACCAAAAGAAAAAACTTCGTGTCAGACCGACAAATTTAAAAAGCCTCCAGACCATGGGATGAGTGTGCCACTTCCCCTTTTGATCCTCCTGTTGAAATACAGTTTTCGGCTGTGATAGTACAATCCGACAGGGAACATAGACACCCGCTACCTTCTTTCAGATTATGATCACAGTTACTTATTTCCTTTTGCCATGTTTTGAATCAAATGATCTTCCAAAAATCTCCAAACAATACAGAAGATGAAAAGTCGCATAAGACTGAGACAAAAGAACCTGAACGGCCCACCGCGGTCCAAACCAGTCATTGGTGGTTCCAAACAGTCACCGGTCATTGGCGACCCAAACCAGCCTCGTTGGTGGTCCCAACCGGTTATCGTTGGTGGTCCCAACTGGTTCAAAGTGAGTTCCACAAACGTGGGCGGTTCAAACTTAATACACTTCAGTACTACGTGAGCAAAGTATTGAGAGGCTGATTTTTTTTGGGGGGGGGAAGGTATGGATTCTTTCACAAACACCAAAAAACAAAACTGACAGTTTCACCACAGTGCACTTCGTTTCAAGCCGTTTCTTGTGCAATTTATTCCCGCGGCTAATTCGATACTCTACACATTAGTAGGCCCTTAAAACATGAGTCATGGGGCACCCACAATTTCTTACTTTTAGAAAAAAGAGGACTGTTTCCAAGGCATACGGATGATCATTCGAAATAATGAGACAATTCTGTTTTCATACAGTGAGCTTAGTACCAACTAGTAGAGTGGCACTTTTAGCCATGATCCCGTTTCAAAAATGCAATTGGTTGTTGGCAGAATTATCGCCAAATCATTGACAAAGACTGACAAATCGCAGAAAAAAGATCGGCAATCACACTGAAGTTTAGTGAAGCTGTTAGCACGTAAACTCTTTTCTCCAGTGATGAAATATGTAACGATTTAAATGATAAGATACATCAGTGCACACAACAAAATTAAAATATTAGACTATTGACTGGAATATATAAGAGCATCTTATACATTTCAAACAAAAATGTGACAATTTTTTTTAAAACAAAATCGCCGCTCACCATGCAAGTACTTAATCTTGCATTGTTGGGGACCAAAGATTTGGTGTTGACATAAAAACTACAACATGGAATTATAACAAGTAAGAAAATAATTGATTTTGTCTACATGGTACCGAGTAAACAAAACTAATTAAAATTGCAATAATTTTTTCGTTATTAAGCCAAGAACTATATATGATTGTTTACAAACATTCTTAACAGCATTATGTATGTGTGTGATTGCACCCTACTAAATAGACCACAGTAAAAAAAATTGTTTCGTGTCTATAATTGCATTAAAATTTCGAAAACTAGTTTAACTTAATACATGTACATTGTGGAAGATATCAAAAACGAAAATTTAAATGTGTTGCTTATTTGGTTATCAAAAGTCTCAGTAGTTTACATCCATTTCTATGCATAAGTGAGACAACAGAACCCAAGCAGGCTCTTTGAGTTATGCAAAAAGTTGAAAAAAGAGAGCAAATACAAATACTGTGACACTCGATTCCACGAAACGTGAATCACGTCCTCTCACTCAGATATTAGCAACACTTACCATAAATAAATCAGAGTATATATTATTGCAGAACTGTACAAAGTGACAGTGATGTAGTCGAGTACTTTTGGAGAACCAAGTTCTCTACCAAATATTTAACTAGTTATGAGGGAACAACGGTTAAGTACATCGGCATTTGATTGTACATGCATAAAGGTAAGATTACAAAGCAACATAATGACTTCAGACCATCACTGTTTGATTAAGATTAAGTTTTTAGGACAAAAGTACTCGGAAAGTACTCGGCTGAGTACTTTCTGAGTACTTTTCTCCTTAAAACTTAAATTTGACACAACTGGGAGTGTCTGAAGTCTGACATTTATTTTGTAATCTTACCTTTGCACATTTACCATCAAATGCCTGTGCACTCTGGCTTTATTCCCTCTTACCCAGTTCAGTATTTTGCGGAGAACGTCGGTACTCGGAAAGTACTCGACTACTACACTGCAAAGTGAAATAGAATGTGCCAATGTAACATTTCTAATAGTTTCACAGTACAAAAACTCAGCAGTACTTTTGCAAAAATAAGCTTAAAATCGAGTACATATATATAACGGTTAGTAGAAGTAAAAAAACGGGTAAGACAAACCCTGTGAATACTGGATACAAATAAAGCAATTAAACTTATCTGTTGTTCTTAAGGTGCTGTTAACTCAAAGTCAATCTAATACACGTGTAAGGCTGCAGGCATGGCATACATAGTGTGGACCTCTACACAAAAGAAGTCCGCGTAATGTAGGGTATGATGGTGTTGTGTGTACAAAAACATCTACACCAAAACCTACGTTTAAAAGATTGTCTTTTGATGTGATTATTCGTTTTGTGATCAAATGATCTTTCTTTTAGGTAACAGTTTTGCCAGCTGATGATTAAGAGGCTTAAAACTTTGGAATTTTAAAAGGCAAACCTTAATGGATTCAGATTCGTTTTACTGTATACTTTGACCACACACACACAAAAATTGAGATCAGCAATGCGACTGTAACAAATCCCGGCACATATAGGTTGGATAAACTTTACATCAGTATAAATCCCGGGGGGTTGGGTTCCATATCCCGGGTATGGGGGAGGTGAGCCATTGGTTTACCCACCCGTTCGCTGATGAGAAACAAAAGAATGTGTATTTTGAGGTTATGTTGAACCTTCCAACAGCAAAATTTGGAGGACAAAAGATACAAGCCCAACTA